CCCCAAAACCCCAAAACCCCAAAACCCCATATCCTGGCTGGAATGTTGAAATGTTAAAAAAATCTTTGAGTATGATCATATAAAATAATCTGATAAAATCGATGAGATGTTGAACAATTTGCTTTAAAATAGATTCTTATCACATATAACACATCTCTTCCAATTTACTCAAAGATCAGCAAAGCAAGAGGCATGGAATTTATGCTCTCATTGCCCCTTTACATAGATACCACCTTCCCAATCTTCAAGTATCCCACCAACCGCATCTCTAAGATACTTTCCTTCCCCATATTCCAGTGAAGGCTTGTCCAAATCGTTCAGTCAGAAATTACAGTGTGCAGGAATTAAACTTGGGTTACCAAAGAGAAGGGATTCTTTGGGAATAGGGATTATTTGGGAAATGATATGGGCGTAGTTTGATGGGATGTAGGGAGTGCAGAATAAGGATTGGTGCAGGTTGTAGAGAGTTAGGATACACAAGTGTAAGGATGCTAGAAGTAACAGGGTTTGGAGTGTTTCAGAGAAGGTGAAGTTGTTTTGAGCGAAAATATAGAAATAGTTTATGCTAAAGGTTGCTTCAATGATAATTGATGCAAATAAACAAGTTTCGGAGAAAATTTGTATTTGATTTTTGATATTATTTCAACTTCACTCCAATCATTCAGCTGTGAAAGAAGAAGAAAATCAAGAATCAGTTTTGGAGGATCACTATAGAGAATGAGCCAGACAAAATCATGAATAATTGTTTGAAATAAAAACAGCATATAATGCATATTATATCCATGCTTGTTTGTGAGAAAATGTAGAACAAGGCAGACTCAACTCTTCCAACTTTGTGTTCAAATATTTTATAACGCTCATAAGAAGCATGAAAAAGAACTCCTCTCGCAAATAATACAGAAATTGCTTGAATAAATATCAGAACTCATAATAGAGTATCTAAGCCTGGATAAAATCGTAATCCAAACAATCTTGAAATTAGTAATCAAAAGTCTCTGTTTCTGATAAAGAATATTCATCCAAATACAAAATTTCCAGGAGCTCTCCTTTTCCAATCACTGAGATTTTTATGAGTATTCATTAGATTCACATAAACAGCTGGCAGAATTATCATAATGGGCATATATAAGATTTCAAACATTTTTACTTTCCAGAATGGCAGTTCTACAAAAATAATGCCACAAAAATACCTTGATTTATCTCATCCCTCCCCATCTGCAAATACTCGATCATGGTTCAGCTCTTTTCTTGCTTATTTGTCTTAATCTCTCTTGTCAGCCATAAAATAATTACTTCTAACAAAGGAGTAAGGCAACTTAATATTCCTCATACAAGAAAAAGTGGCTTAACCATAGCTCTTGTGCATTCTAGCCTAAAAATACCGTACGACATTTTTAATTGCCAATATTATAATATCTCCATTTTTAGATATCTTTTGGGGTTTTGGGGTTTTGGGGTTTTGGGG